GGGAGGCTGGGAGGAGGCGGAAACTTTTTTTTTCCTTTTCTCAATTAAAAAAAAAAAAAGCAGCTTGGAGAGGAAGGGGTAGCTCCCGCAGTGAGGCAGGAGACTGAGGCAGGAGCTTATGCAGAGAGGCCATGAGAAGCTCTGTTTTAATGGCTTGCTCAGCCTGCTTTCTTATAGAACCCAGGACCACCAGCCCAGGGATGGCACCACCCACAATGTACTGGGCCCTCCCCCATTAACCACTAATTAAGAAAATGCCCTACAGGTTTGCCTATAGCCAGATGACTTGCTTGTGTTAACTTGACATAAAACTATACAGCATACTCTCTATGTGGGATCAGTCACAGTTAGCTATGCATGGTAGAAAATCAGCAACAGTTGAAAAAATATACCTTTGCTTTCTGTCTTGTTTTATTGAGACATGGTTTCTCTGTGCAACCGTGGCTGTTCTGGAACTCACTCTGTACACCAGACCGGCCTCAAACACAGAGATTTACCTGCCTCTGCCTCCCGAGTGCTGGGACTAAAGGCATATGCCCAGCTGAAAAATACACATTTTTTTTTTCCTTTTTGCCAACAACAACAGATTATACACCATGGTGATGCACACCTGTAACCCAGCATCTTCTAGGTTGAGCAGAAAGAAGGGTTGGTTGCAAGTATGAAGTTGATGTGGACGGCATATTCAGATCATGTCACAAAAAATGAATTTGAAGAGAGAGAAATCAGGAGAGAACGAGGGAGGGAGGGAGGGAGGGAGGGAGGGAGGGAGGGAGGGAGGGACTGTGGCTTCACAATGGCACTGAGAAGCTAGGCTCCTTCCACTTTGCTGTTCACCTTTCTCAGTACAGAGCTGCCTTCTCTGCTAAAATGGCTACTCAAGCTATAACTACCACCTCAAATTCCAACCAGCAGAAAACAGAAGAACAAAGGAGCGAATGCAGCCTTCCTTGAAAGATTCTTAGAGACAGTAAAAAGGGGAGCAGGCAGATACTGAGGAAATAGTTACTAAATTTTCTCAGGGTAGTAAGATTTAGAGTGCTGTTCTTGGGCTGCATCGTGGTTCAGCAAGTAAAGGCAGCTGCCACCAAGCCTAACGACCTGAGTTTGACACCCAGTGTCCACATGATAGGAGAACGCCAACTCCACACATGTCTCCTGCCACTCCTGTGCTGTGGCACACTGCATACACACACAATACAAATAAAATGTATTTTAAAAAGTTAAGGAACGTTGTTCTCATACCAAAGAACTTTCAAGAAACACCAAATTCAAGTGGGGTGGGAGGAAACAACACAAATATTTAAAAACAAACAAGAACAGTCATGAGGAAAACAGATAATATGATATAATAATATTAGAGATGTTATAAAGTCATGAAAGATCTGCTGCTAGGCAACACCCTCGACTCCTGAAAAGCTCCAGCCATGTTCCGTTTGGTTTATGAATATCGCTCTGTGCCTGTACTGAAGAATATCTAGGCGTCTGGCAATGTCTGGGTGATTAAGACTGCTTGCAGCTCGTTCAGAGGAAGAACCCACACGGGGAAGGCTCACAACTACCTACACCTACAACTCCAGGAGACCTGACATCCTCTTCCGGTTGCTGTGGGTACCTACTCACATGCATACACACACACACACACACACACACACACACACACACACACACATGAATAAACCTTTACAAACAAAACAGACAAACAAGCAAAATCCCTAGTCTGATCTTTTAACTTAATCAAAACAGAGTAGCAAGAATTACAGTGACCTTTCCAGCTTAACTGACTAAAAGCTAAGGAAAATTAAAATAACAGTTTTCAAACATTGGAAAATAGTCAGTGATAATAAAGAATACCCAAGAGAGGGAAAACAATGGAAGTATTATTAATAACTCATTTATAATATGTATAGAGTTATGAGGTCAAAGCAACAAGAAAGAGAATTTAGGTAGCCTCCCAAAATTACGCAGATAAAAAGGATTTAGAGAGAAGAACGTGTTCAACTCCCCAGTCTACAGCTGAATGCTGATAACTTTCCCCGAAAGAATGAGGATGATTAAAAGCAACCCAACCAACCACCTGACCCTAGATGCATCGGTCCCAATGCAAAAACAAAGAAATACAAAACCCCCAAAACAATGCTGTGAGCATTGCAGCTCCGATGCAAAGGTGTCCTGGCAGTCGGGAGACAAGGAATGCCACAAAGTCACTGTCGGCCTAGCAGGGAAAGGTTTCCCCAAGGTAACAACTCTGCCCAGGCGGGGAGGGTTTCCCAGTCAAGTTGTTACAGCTCTGCTCTGCTGGCGGAAACTTCCCCAGCCAGAGTGTTCTACAGTTCTGCTCGGCTCGGCTCGGCTCCAGGGAAAACTGTTACAGCAGGGCTCCTCGCTGGCAAAGATGTCACACTGCACTGCAGACCTTACTCAAGGGATTTGTTGGGAAGGAAGAATCCAGGAGGGAGGAGCAGCAGCAAACTGAACAGGGTTCCTTGGGAGTGGAGCGTTCTAGGTTGGCCTTTTGTGGTCCGACTCTGGAGAAACTCGGGCATTGGTGGATTGGTTTTCAAACCCTGGTCCTGGGGTCTGGTCAGGGCAAGGTGTTTTTCCCTGGCGCTTTTCACCTTACAAGTGCAACTCCTCAAAAGTGAACAATTCACAGAGCAATGGCCTCCAGTGAGAGAGAGTTAGACAAGATCCCAGATGAGTCAAAAGAATGATTGTAAGTATAGCTAAAGAAAACAAAGAAGACATAGATTTCTGAATGAATTCCTAAAGAACACGAACAAGTGAATGAAGTAAGAAATTCAACATAGGACGTAGAAATGGAATCCAACAGAGAGAGAGGAACACTGAGGAGAAGCCAAGCTGCAGTAACAGGAGTGAGAACCCCATTAGCTGAACAGCAGTTCCAGATGGGCCTGAGGGTTGGCACAGTCAGGAAAAGCGGGTTCGGGAAGCAGGGCCTGGGGACCCGAGTGTGAAGCTTCAGCACCGTGTAAAAAGCTGGGCATGTGTGCTTGTAACAACAGCATTGGTGAGGGCCTACCAAAAAGAGTGAGCTCCGAGCTCAGGAAGAGATCCCGCTCTAAAGCAGTAGAGGGGTAGAAGGTGTCTGGGGTCTCGCTCTGGCCCATGTGTGTGCACTGTATCATTGTGCACCGCACACCATACATAATGAAGGACCGGGGTACGGAGGCATGTGATGGTCCCCTTCGGTAAGGCGTGTAAATTAAGGCTAGGAACCTTGGAATGAGGAAATGCTTTGTGTAACAATCAATAAATACACTTCTGTACAGCTGTTCTGGGTCCAGTTTAGTCCATCAGAAGAAGCTGGACCTTTTTGCTGACATAGAGGCCTAAAAGAACATACAAATATAAAGAAGGTATCCATCAAGGGATAGAAAAAGTCTTAGCCATGGATTCCTTTCAGAGCCTTGTGTTGCTGGAGGCTGCCCCCCCCCCCCATAGTGGTAAAACAGAAAGTAGAACATCAGAGCTTGAAGACAATGAAGCGCAACTGGAGCGTCCAGACAGTGACAAAGACAAAGACCCTACAACAGAACATTCATGGGACACTAGGAGAAAATCAAATCTGTGAACGTGGACATACAGAAGGACACTTTTCTGCTCAAAGCAGATGAAGCATTTTCATCAAAATCATGGCAGAAAATACCTGGGTACAGGAAGAATTTGGAACACCAAACAGACAATACCAGAGATGAACCTCCTCAAATTACAGTTAAAATACTACATAAACAGGACAAAGACAGCATCCGAAAGCTGCACTAGAGAAACACAAAGCTGCATCTGAGGTGTAGTCACCAAAACAGCAAACTTGTCCACAGGGACTTTTATCTGGCGCCCTCTCCTGGCCTGTAGGCACACACACATGCTGGCAGAACACTACATACATAAAATATAAATACGTCTTTAAAAAACAAGTCAAGAGGGCCCAGAAGGATGCATTTCAAGTTCTAAGAGACACCAACTGCGATTCAGATCTCTATAGCACCCAAACTGTAAGGTCTGAAGGGAAAACAAAACTTTTTATGATTGGGGGGAAAAAAAACAAGCTAAAGCAATTCATGGTCATTAAGCGAGCTCTACAAAAGATACTTGGAGG